AACGGAAGGTTTCCAGATGGATATGCAGAGCAAATCCATCTGGCGGAGTCAGGTTAGGATATCCCAGCAGATTCAGCCCCCCCAAAAAACCCCAAAGGTTCCGTCCAAACTCCATTTTGTATGTTCAATATTAAAGTTTTTGGCAGAATATCTTGAAAAAGAATACAAAATCATTGAAAATATCTGCTGGAAGAAATGCTCTCTTTAATAAGAATACGGCAGCATGACTCAGCTTTGCAAATCCCATTTAAATTAACTGCAAAACATAATAAAAAAAACAGTGTTTGACAAATAAGACCAAAATAGAGATGTTTTACTATAATGTTATGATAGACAAACAAAGAAAAAACAGCATATCAGCACATTCAGCTCAGGAGCAATCAGACTAGTGGACAGAATATGGTTCCCTTCCTTCCCCTCTAAAATAAACCAGGCTTGAATGTAAAGCTATGCCAAATTTAGTTTATCGACGCAACAATGAAATTAAACACAGTAACAATCAGAATATTTAAACAATAAAGAAATCATTGGAATATTTTGGCCCAGTCAAAGTCCAAACCTGAACCTGGCACTAAAGCTGTGGTGAAAACTAAAGAGAAATGCAATGAAACAAGAATGCAAACCTAAAGGCAAACGAAGATGGCAAAAAAAAAAAAAATATTTCTTTCATAAAAAAATCTGATGTGTGCGTAGAAAGAAGGTTTTAGAACCCGACCTGCATCAGTTATATCAGTTATCTCCTAATATGTGACGTTAACTTAAAAACCTGCTTTTTCCCCCTTTCCTTTTTGCATAAGTCAATGAAAAGTGCGATTAATAAATTCAAAATGAAATGTTAATGTCTATCTGCTGCCTGTCTCTTGTTCAGTTGAATGTTTTATTCACCTGTATGGTACAGGATGTACGTTCAGAGTGTTGGAGTTTGTTCTTTCAAGCGCTGCCTGTTTCTGCTTCTTGAGAATCACCTCCTGGAGTTTCTGTTTTACCGCTGAACTCGCCACAGCACCTGAAAATCAACAATACCGACACGTTTCAAGGAGAGAAAAAGAAACAGATGCAAGAATTACAGCAAAAAGGAGGCAGACCAGTTCACAAAAATAACGTTGGTGTTTCAACACACCATTCAACTAAGACAAAAGAAGTATTCTGCAAAACTCTTTTAAATAAATCTATCTATCTATCTATCTATCTATCTATCTATCTATCTATCTATCTATCTATCTATCTATCTATCTATCTATCTATCTATCTA